CCCGGTTCAATTCCAGCCTTGGATGACCGTCTATGTGGAATTTAAAAGTTCTCTCCATGTCTGTGTGGGTTTCTTCCGGGTGCACTGGTTTCCTCCCATTGTCCACAGATTTGCAGGTTAGGTACATTGGCCATGCTAAATTGCCCATAGTGCCCAGGGATGTGCTGGCTAGGAAGGTTAGCTATGGGAAATGCAGGGTTACAGGGATATGATAGTGAGATGGCCCTGGGTAGGATGTTGTTCAGAGGGTCAGTGTGGACTCAATGGGATTCTGTTAAAAAATTATCCTTGATGCACAGTGAAAACAGTATGTACTATTGACAAGATGTACTGCAGTCACTCACCATGGGTCCTTCAACAGCACCTTCCAGATTTGTGACTTTCAACCCTAAAAGGACAAGGGCAATAATAGCTGCATGATTATAGCATCATCTGCAAGTTCCCTTTCAAGTTGCCTGTCACCCTGACTTGGAACTATTTTGCTGCTCCTTTGCTGTCAAAATCTTGGATCTCCCTCTCAGCACTACAGGCATAACTAGCTACCATGGATTGCAGCAACAGACTGAGGCACTACTATTTCCTTAAGTGCAATTAGAGATGCAACAGCTGGCCTAGCCTGCAATGTCCACACCTCATGAATGAATGAGTTTTAAAAAAAAATCATAGATTTTTAGAAGAATGTGGGATGATCTTATTGAAATGTATACGATTCAGAATGGGCTGTGCAGTGTAACTTGTCCTTCGAGGTGATGGAGATTGTGGGTTTGGAAGCTGCTTTCAAAGGAACCTTGACAAGTTATTGCGGTACATCTTGTCGATGGTAGAGACTGCTGCCATCATATGTCAGTGGCAGACAGAGTGAATGTTGAAGGTGGTGGAAGGTGTGAAAATATGTGGACTGCATTGTCTTGGATTGTGCTTCTTCAGTGTCTTTGGAATTGCACTACTTGAGGCAAGTGGAGAGTACTCCACCGCACTCCTGACTTGTCCCTTGTGGATTGTAGACAGGTTTTGGGGAGTCATGTGGTGAGTTACTTGCAGAAGAATTCCCAGTCTCTGATTTGCTCGTGTAGCCACAGTATCTACATTATTACAACCACTCAGGTAGTGCACTACAAACTTTGCCCTGCTATTCCTGGAATCATACCAAATGTTAAACTTTTTTTAAGGTACACATAGCCACCCCCCCTGTTTATTTGTCTTTCAGACCAAGATCGATGGAAAACACATATCAGGCTTCTGTGTTTAACAAGAGTTATTATTTGTTGTAAGTAATTAGACTAGAGCTGCAGGTAAACAAATATAAACTATTAGCATATAACATGACTAACTAAAACCTAATCCCCAAATAAGCACCACCTTAAAAACAAATAGGGAAAATAGAATTTTGGCAGAGTGAGAAAAAATTGGAAAGTCAGGTCAATGGTCGCGACAAACAACAAATTCGACATTGAGACCAAGCAGAGGCTTGGAGACTGCTTTGTACAGCACCTGTGCTCTGTTCACGACAAACGACAAACCGACTCCCAATTCCTCTGCCTGTGCCGTGTCTGCTCCCAAGATGGGGCATTCCACTCTCAAACATCCCAGATCTCCTCTTACTTCAAGGACGCAATTTCACCCCACTTCGGTGGTTGAAAATGCACTTGACTGCATCGCTTGTGTTTCCCACAACTCTGCCCTCCCATTCCCTCCCCGCCAACAAAAATAAAGACAGAATCCCCCTTGTTCTTGCATATTACCCCACTAACCTCCGTATCCAATATATCATTCTCTGCCACTTCTGCCACCTGCAATCCGACCCCACAACCAAAGATACGTTTCCCTCCCCACCCCTATCTGCCTTTTGTAGGGACTGCTGTCTCCGCAACTCCCTCATCCACTCCACACTCCCCACTAGCCCCACCACCCCCGGCACCTTTCCCTGCAACCACAGGAAGTGCTACACCTGCCCCTGCGCCTCTCCTCTCACCTCCATTCAAGGTACCAAACAAATCTTCCACATCAGACAGAGGTTCACCTGCACATCTGCTTTGTGGTCTATTACATCCACTGTTCCCGATGTGGCCTCCTCTACATCGGGGAGACCAAGCGGAGGCTTGGGGAACGCTTTGTAGAGCATCTGCGCTCTGTTTGCGACAAACGACAACACCTTCCGGTCGTGCACCACTTAAACTCCCCCTCCCACTCTCTGGGTGACGTGTCCATCCTGGGCCTCCTCCAGGGTCACAATGATACCACCCACAAACTGGAGGAGCAACACCTCATTATTCCGCCTCAGGAGCCTACTGCCCAATTATTTGAATGAGGACTTTATCAGTTTCAAATTCTCCCCACCCCCAGCCTCCTCCCGTGACCAACCCTCCCTCTCATCCCCCACCTCCTTGACCTGACACAACCTGTCCATCTTCTCTCCCACCTATCTGCCCCTCCCACCTCACTGACCAATCCCAACCATTGCCTACCTGCACGTTCTTATCACCATCCCACTTACCTTCTCCAGCCCCACCCTTCGTGTCTATTTATTTCCCAGCTCCCTTCCCCCTCCCCCATTTCTGAAGAAGGGTCCTGACCCAAAACGTCAACTTTCCTGCTCCTCTGATGCTCCCTGGCCTGCTGTGCTCCTCCAGCTCCAGACTGTGTTAATGATGGCTCCAGCATCGGCAGTTTTTACCATCTCTGTGGTCTTTGCTTCCTGATTCTGATGTTGAGATGATTTTTTGCGGCCAACCAGGCCCTTGTAGTTCATTCGTCTTTCTCAAGTGGTTTTCACTGGTGTGTAGGAAGTACAGAGTGACTGATTCACTTGATAACTGTCTCTGATTTATCAATTCAACAGTCACAGCTCAAAGTAACTGCTGCAGGAAAGGTTTCCAGCAAGTTTAAATTGAGTTGTTTTTAACTGCTGAAAGCAGGCAGCTTCTGCTGCGATGAGCAATGCACACCCTTCTGTCTGTCTCTCTGTGTCTGCTTAACATGTTTCCAGTTCCACCCTTCTCCCACTTCTGACCTTATGATGGAACAAAGGTCATTGATGAAGTAGCTGAAGGACATTGAACCAGGCTTTCAGCTTGAATGTATGGTAAATACAGATTGTAGTTGAACACAATTCTGCTGTTGATGGCCCACACTCCCTCAGTTTGAGTCACTGGGTCTGTTTGAAGTCTGCCCCATTTAATACAATGATCATGCTACACAAAATGATGGAATTTAACCTGAAGGTGAAGATAGGGCTTATCTCCACAAAGACTGTCATTCATACTGATGTTACCGTGGACCACTGCAGCTGCAAGTAGTAGATTGGTGAGGACAAGATCAAGCAAGTGTTTCAAACATATGACAATATGAAAAAATAAGGGGAATAGGTCATATAGGCCCCAAGTCTGCTCCATAATTCAATAAGTTTGTGGTTGATCTGATTGTAACCTTAAATCCACTTTTCTATCTATCCCTGTTAACGTTACACTTCCATGCTTATTAAGAATCTGTCTACCTCTGCCATAAAAATATCCAAGGACTCTGCTTCCACCCCCTTTTCAGGCAGGAGTTCCAAATATTCACAACCCTCTGAGATAAAAAAAAAAACTGCCTTCTCTATGCTTTAAATGGATGACCATTTTATTTTAAACATTGACCCCTAGCTCTGGATTCTCCCAAAGAGCAATCATTTCCTCCTCCAGTGATAACACTACTAGGCCTTCACCTCCCCTGGATGCTTGCCAAGCTGGTAATTATGGTGCTAGCCTCATAGCTTTCTAGCTGTGAAGAGAAAAGCAAATGTTGGCCAGACTTTGGGTGGCAGATTTTGGTGAAGAATATTGGTGAACTAAATGACTTTTTTTTCCGATAATCTCTGGAGCATTAATCTGAGCCTCTGGATCATTAGCATAGCATTATCATGTGCTGTCGTGCTGTCTGGTATTTAGTCGATTGTGCAGCACTTTACATTTAATCTTTGAAATGCTTAACGAGATCATATCTTAAAATCTTTATTTTAGTCATTTTTACCTCTCCCAGTAGCTTTCATGTTTTCTGCTAATTTTATCATGTTATAATTAATGTCAGATTCTTGATCATTGATGGAAACAGTAATGAAGTCCAAGTACTGACTGGTGCAGAGCTGTACTTGGCACCTCCCTCCTGGTCTCGAGCTCTATATTTGGTGCCAGACTCACCTCAGCTTCTTATTTTTGTTATGTTACTTTTACCTGCATCTTGTTCTTTGACTGATATTGAATTTTGAAGACTTGTCGAGACGATTCTTCCTCTGAGTGGTAGGGCCAGAACCAAGTGCTCAGTTTTTGGAGCATACAAGATGGTACAGGGACTTATCAGAGTGCATGCTTAGAGGAAGTTTCCCTTTCTTAGAGGAACAAGGACTAGGAGACACATTATAAAAATAAGGGCTCTCCTGTTTAAAAAGAGGGGATTTTTTTCTGAGGGTCGTAAACCTGTGTATTAATTCATTCAGAGATAGTAGGAACTGCAGATGCTGGAGAATCTGAGATAACAAGGTGTAGAGCTGGATGAACACAGCAGGCCAAGCAGCATCATAGGAGCAGGAAGGCTTTTCTATTAATTCATTCTGTTGTTTTAAGTTCCAAACTATTTGACTATTGTCATTCTACGGATATTGTCCTGCCTTGTTTCTAATCCAGTGAGTTTGGATTGTGCCTCTTGATTTGATATTAACAAGTAATCATGTGTTTTATGTCAACTCATTTGGAAATCTGACTTCATCATTGGTTGAATTTTATTTATTGAAGTTGCTACACTTTTTTGTGTGATCATCCTTATTGAATCATAGAATATATTGCAATGTCAGTGCTCTGGCGTTCTGCGGTACACTACTTGTAAAGCTGGTGGTGGTTTCCATATGCCTGCTGCCCTTGTTCTTCTAGATAAAAGTGGTCATGGATTTGGAAGGTGCTGCCTAAAGAGTCATGGTGAATTGTTATGGACCAGACCAAACCCCCTCAAAGTAGATTAAGAGGATAGTCTAAATACAAACTTTTTCTTATTTTAAAGGTAAGTGTAAGGCATTGTGTTCTGGATGCAATTTGATTGGTCAAACTACTAGACTTGAAACAAAACTCACATTATTCATACATTATACATAAAGTACAGACAAATAAAATAATTGGCTTAACTGTACCTATCAATGCTTAACAAAAGAATACATGTGTTGTTGACTACTAATTAACTGTTCCAATACAGTAACATTCCATAAGCACATCCTTGGCAAAGGCAAATTCAGTAAAATAGATTACCTCACATGAAATTCTAACAGCAGGAAGAGAACCCAGCTTTTAGCTGTTACAGAAAGGAATAAGAGCTTCCACGTCCAGTCTCAAGACTGCAGCAACTCTACTGAAGGCTAAAACATAAAAAAAAGTCCTGGTTCTGTGGGAACTTGACCCCATCTATTCAGGCTGCTTCTCTTGTTCCAACTTTTTAAAAAAAACCCAGGGCCTCAGTAGCTGTTTATTTTATTGGCATTGGAACAGACTGCTGGTCACTTTTTTCTCTCAAACTTTCTTCATTTAAATTAAAAAAAAACATGACTAGATATGCCTCTTGAAGCCATACTATCGTCACACCTCTCCCTGACCCTTTTAAAAAAAAAACTATCAATACACAATGATGGCTTCACTTTAAAAAAGCCTTTAGTCCTACGTAATGGGTGGCACAGTGGTTAAATGGTTAGCACTGTTGCCTCACAGCACCAGTGACTGTGTGCACATTCTCCCCGTTTCTGCGTGGGCTTCCTCCCAGTGCTCCGGTTTCCTTCCACAGTCCAAATGTGCAGGTTAAGTGAAATGACCGTGCTAAATTGCCCAAAGTATCCAGGGATGTACAGGCTAGGTGAATTAGCCATGGGAAATGCAGGGTTACAAGGATAGGGTAGGGGGTTTGGTCTGGTAGGATGCTCTTCAGAGGGTCTGGATGGACTCAATGGGCCAAATGGCCTGCTTCCACATTATGGCTGTTCTATATACTATTAGTACATGACAATACATGTAAATTACATTGTTTCTATAAGCATGCAAACAGTCACTACTGCAGTTTGCTTCAGTCCATTTTATACCCATCTTCCCTCTTCTTCAAATGCCTCCATCTTCCTTCACCAAAGTCGCGACAACACGTTGGCAATTACGTTCTCTCATCCTGCCATGTGTATAATTTTTAAATTGAATAGCTGCAATGATGAGCTTCACCTAAACAGTCTAAAATTTTTATTCTTAACCCCTTTAAGACTTTGGAAGTAGTTATGATTAGGATATGAAATTATCTCAGACAATTGCTGGCAATATAAATATTGAAATATTGCAACACCAACACCAAGCTCAAGGTCACCTTCTCAATCATGGAATATTTTTATTGTAAATTATTCTGTTTTCTGGAAAAAGTACCCAATAGGTCTTTCTGTCTTGTTGTCATCGTCTTGCAAGAGTACAGCACTGATACCCCAAATCACTTGCATCGATAGCCACCTTGGATGGCTTTGCGTGATTAGGTGTGGTTAACACGGGGGCAAGTGGTTAACACAGATTTCAGGCTGTCAAATGCCTTCTGTGACAGTGTGCCATCCACTGAAATTTTCTGCATTTTTTCAATAAGCCAATCAGTGGATCAACTACACTGCTAAAATTCAGTACAAACTTCCAATGAAAGCCACACAGTCTCAGCAATTATAGTACTTCCCTCTTCATTGATGGTATGGAAAACCCCCCAATAACATTTGTTTTAACATCCTGTGAGGTTGTTTAGTCCATGTCCAATGTCATGGCCCAGAAATGTGAATTGGGCTTTTGCGAACTCACTGTAAGCCAGGTTTATCACCATCCCCACCTCCCAAAGTCGATTAAACAATTCCGATAGATCCTTCAAGTGTTCCTTCCATCTGTGACTAAATAAATCACAAGATCATTGATGTAGTCAATTGGCTAATCCAAAAATGACTTTATTCGTTCGTCTTTGAAATGTGGCTGGCTCCATTTTCATGCCAAATGCCATGCTGTAAACTGATAGTCTTATTTGGCATCATGAGAGCCGAAATTTCCTTTGCTGTTTTGGATAAAGGTACCTACCAGGTATCATCTGAGTAAGTCCAACTTAGAAATATAAGTTGCTTGTCCCACCTTCTCAACACAGTCTCCCAAATGTAGAATAGGATATGAATCAGATTTTTTTAACTGCATTGATGTTGTGATAGTCCACACAGTTGGGTACCATCTGGTTTTGGTACCATCACAATAGGTGAGCTCCATTCACTGCTATCACTTCGATTATCTTGTCTTTGAGCACACATTCAATCTCCTTTTCAATCTGTGCCAATTTTAGAGGGTTAAGTCTGTAAGGATGTTGCTTAATTAGAACAGCATTTCCTATATCTACATCATGCGTAATTAGATTAATACTTCCCACCTTATTCCCACATATTTTTCCATGTGATTGTAATAACACTCTCAGGTCATTTTGATTTTCCTCTGGAAGGTAACCCAATATTTATCACAATTTTTGAGAACTTCCTCATTGTCCAGTTTAATTTGAGGAAGGTCCAATTCAGAATCATCTGAACTTGGTTCTTTACTTTATGTTGTAACCAGTAACACATTCTCCTTTTGCTTTCCTTCCTTATCAAAATACCTTTTGAACATATTCACATGACACACTCTTAAGATTTCTTTCAATCTGGCGTTCTTATCAAATAATTCACCTCACTCAATCTCTTCGATTTGATTAGCCCCACTAAACCTTGCTTTTAAAGGTTCACCTACCACTGGGAGTAACACTTAACACTTATCTCCATGACCAAATATTGATTTCTTGTCTGCTTCTTCTTTCATTACATGTTGTGATACTTTTAAATGCTGTCTAGCCAATTCACCCACTCTATTTTGATCCATGGTCCAAATATACAGTCTCTGAACTCAGACTCACCAATTTCTCTTTAATTAATTTCAGTGGTCCTCTCACCTCATGCCCAAAAACTAATTCAAATGGACTGAATTTGGTATATTTATTAGGTGCATCCCTAATTGCAAAGAGTACAAATGGAATTCTTTTATCCCAGTTGGTTGGATTGTCTTGACTACAATATCTCAACATGGTTTTTAAAGCTTGATGACACTGTTCTAATGCTTTCTGCCATTCTGGATGGTGTGCAGTGGATTTGAATTGTTTTATTCCTAAACTGTCCATAATTTTCAGGAATAAATTTGATGTAAAATTTGACCCTTGATCTGACTGTATCTCTGTGGATAGTGCGTATCTCATTTTTAAAAAATTGAGTAACTCTTCAACCATCCTTTTAGCTGTGATACTGCATAACGAAATGGCCTCTGGAAATCGAGTAGACCCAACAATTATGGTCAACAAATACTGATTCCCACTTTTTGTTTTAGGTAGGGGTCAACCAATTAAGACTGTAAAATGCACCTCAAATGCGGGAATGGGTATTAGGGGTGCTGGTTTTATCGCTGCTTGGGTTTTCCTATTATCTGACATGTATGACATGTCCAGCAAAACTCAACCAAATCCTTATGCAGTCCAGTCTACTAAAAACATTTTTGTATTTTGGGTTGAGTTTTCCTTACTCCCAAATGACCCCCTGCTGGTAATTCACATGCCACCCAACGCACCACCTTTCTATAGCCCACTGGTAGTACAACTTGATTAATTTCTGCCCATTTGTCATCCACGTGAATATGTAATGGTCTCCATTTCCTCATCAAGACTTCATTTTTAAGATAGTAATTTTCTGGGGTACACTCAGATTCTTTTTCTGTGTATGCTTTTTGATACAATTGATTTAGTTTTTCATTTTTCTATCATAATTCAGCAAATTTCTCTGAACTAAAAATTCTACTTTGTCCTCCACCGGTTTTTGTGTCTTTTTATAATCTACCATCTGATCAAACAGAGTTTGTGATAATTGAAGAGACAACAAGGTGCAGGGCTGGACGAACACAGCAGGCCAAGCAGCATCACAGGAGCAGAGAGGCTGACGTTTCGGGCCTAGACCCTTCTTCAGCAAATTTTCTGATGAAGGGTCTAGGCCCGAAACGTCAGCCTTTCTGCTCCTCTGATGCTGCTTGGCCTGCTGTGTTCATCCAGCTCTACACCTTGTTATCTGAGCTTTTTTACTTCTCTTTCCCTCTCATGGGTTTCTTTCTTACCCTGTGGTAACCTACCTTTACTGTCTTCAATGAGATCTCCGTTTCCCTTTCTACCGGAGGATTTCTCTTTTCCCCAATAGTTATCCTTCACAGATTGAAATTGATGTCAGAAGCCAAACACTGATTTTATGAACCAACTCTTAACCATCTGCCATTTCCACTGCTGATCTTGCAGTCTTAACTCTGCTCTTCCACATGAGTTCTCACTACTTCAGGAAGTGAATTTGAACTCCTCCAAAATAATTTTCTGTCTTTGATCTATTTTCAGTGCCCTTATCCACCTATCAAACTGACTTTGTTTGATCCTTTCAAACCCAATGTACGTTTGACCAGGTTCCCTCACTGGATTACTAAAACATTGTAGGCTTCTGGTACTACCTCATATGCACCTAAGATGGCTTTTTCGACCACATCATACTCCCCAGAAACTTCCTCTGATAGAGATGCAAATACCTCACTACTGTCTCTACCTACCAACCCTGTTTTAGACCAACAATGCCTACATGGCCATTGGTCATTTCATTGGTTTAGCCACTTCCGCAAATGAAATGAAAAGGGCTTCTACTTCTTTCTCGATGAACTTTGGGAATGCTTGCACTTATTTAAACAGATCCACACCAGGCCTTCAGATCTGATGAGATTGCTCCCTATCACTGTCCTTATTACTACTCCTACCTTTCACCTCTACTGCCGCCATTTTAATTTGGCTTTGAGTTTTCAGTTCCAACCCTTTGAAGTTTGAAAACTCTATCTTTCTCCCTTTCTTCTGCTAGGACCTTCCTTTCTTTTCTTTTTACTCTGCTTTTAGTCGTAATTCAAACTATTTCATTCCCTTGTTATGTTCAAGCTACTGCATTTGCAATTGAATTTTAGCATTTTCAAAGATTTCAAAGGCATTTCCAGCAATTGCATGTGTAGAGCTATTGCTCCAATGCTCTCCCCCTTTCACACAGATGGAGGCATCCCCATCTCCAACTTGTCTATCAATTCCAAAAGCTTTGCCTTGCTCACTTTCTGTAAAACTCCTGAAGTGATGTCTTGCATCCCCAGAAAACTCTTCATGGCTAAAAAGCCATTATTACACAAGACACACCCTATTTGCATGGACCGATTTCAACACCCGAAACAAAAAATTACCAACACTCGCCACTTTGAGTCCAATAATCCTAAACTCAACCAGGAATAGGAAATTTTGATCCCAACAAGAGCCCCCATTTGTTATGGACCAGACCAAACACCCTCAAAGTATATTCCGAAGATAATCTAGACCCTAACTTTTTTTTATTTTAAAGGTAAATGTAAGGTGTTCTGTTCTGGATACAGTTCGATTGGTCAAACTACCAGTCTCAAAACAAAACATACTTTATTCATACGCTATAATTAAAATACAGACAAAATAAAAGAAAAAAAATTGGCTTAAGTATAACTATCGAAATGCTTAATAAAACTTTTTATATATAAATAACTGCCACTAATTACTTGTTCCAATACAGTAACATCCCATAAGCACACACTTGGCAAAGGCAAATTCAGTAAAATAGATTGTCTCACATACAATTTTAGCAGCAGGAAGAACTGTAGCTTTTAGCTCTAACAGAAAGGAATAAGAGTTTCCACATCCAGCTTCAAGACCCCAGCAACTGTTACTGAAGGCTAAACCTAAAAAAAAACTCCTGGTTCTGTAGGAGCTTGACCACGGTCATTAAAGCTGCTTCTATTGTTCCAACTTCTTAAAAAAGAAACCAAGGCCTCACAAGCTGTTTATTTTATTGGCTTTGGAGACGACTGATTGTCACTTCTGTCTCAACCTTTCTTCCTTTATGAAAAACCGGGACAAAATACACTTCTTAAAGCTATAATATCATCACAGAATTTCTTCAGTGAATCTTGTAGGTGGTACACTCTGTTGCCAGGGACAGTGGTGGAGCGAGTGAATTTTACTAAAAGAATGTGGGCATCACTGGGTGGACCAAAATGTAATGATTATCCGTTGTTGCCCTTGAGAAAACGTAGTGAGTGGCCTTCATAAAACACTGCAATCTGTGTTCTCGTGAGGCCCACAATGCAGTTGTGGTGGGAGTTCCAGGAATTTGACCCAGTGACACTGATGGAACGACACCAAAATAATTTTAAAGTCAGCATAGTCAGTGGCTTGAAGGGGATGTTTGTGAATATTGTGCCAATCAAGCAGGCTGCTTTGTCTGGATGTATCAAGCTTCTTGAGTGTATTGCAGCTGCACTCTTCCTGGCAAGCGGGGGGTATTCCATCACACTCCTGACTTGTGCCTTGTAGATGGTGTTTAGGTATTGTGAAGTCAGGAGGTGAGTTACTCACTGCAGTATTCCTAGCTTCTGACCTGTGGCTGAAGCCATTATATTTATGTGGTGAGCCCAGTTGAGTTTCTGATCATTGGTAACCTCCAGCATGTTGATGGTGGCGGATTCAACAGTGATAATACCCGCTGAATGTCAAGGGCAATGATGAGATTGGTGTTTCCTGGCATTTGTGCAGCACGAATGCTACTTGCTACTTGTCAGCCCAGGTCTTGTTGCATTTGAACTTGCCAATGAGTGTTTGTGGATATGATGCACATCAAACAGACTACTTTATCCAAGATGGTATCCAGCTTTTGAATGTTTTGGAGCTTCAATCATCCAGACAAGTGCAGTGTATTCCATTATACCCATGATTGCGGCTGGAAGACAAACTTTAGAGAGTCAGGAGGTAACTTGCTCATTACAGATTTCCTAGCCTCTGACTTGTTTTTGCCGTCACAGTACTTATACAGATTGTCCAGTTCAATTTCTGGTCAATGTTAACAATGGTTGGGAATTCAGAGACGGCAATGCCAATAAATGTCAAAGCACAATTGCTAGATTCTCTCTTGTTGGAGCTGGACATTACCTGGCACTTGTGTGGCGCGTATGTTACTTTCTGTGCTATATGTGTTTAATGGTCAGTGTTTAACATGCTGGGACAGACCTGAAAGAAACCTTAGTGAAAGCGTGAAATGTACATTGTCTTCATCAACATGAAGCAACAAGAAAGTGGAATGACAAATCTGGTGATTTACCTCAAGCTTCCATATTAAAATGGACCACCCCTCTGGTCAGACTTCTGCCTGCACCTGTTTTGGTCAGGACATTGACACTGATAACTCAGTGATAACTGATTTGCTTTCTATATCAGAGAAAAGATTCAATTCTGCAGTCCTGAAAGGAAATCAAAGGGTATTTTACGCAAGAATGCAGGATATAAAGTGGATCACAAGAGGTTAATACTGAACACAATTTCCAGTTACACTGTAATTTGAGGTAGAGAGGGCAACATACTTTCAGAAAACATACGTTTAGAAATGATATCAGGAAGTCATTTCATGGGATTGATTCTATTCATGAAGTGGGACTAACAGGTAGTGAACCATTTGGAAGGCAGTTGGATGGAAGCTTGTAGGTTTCTATAGAATATAGAACATAGAACATTACAGCGCAGTACAGGCCCTTCGGCCCTCGATGTTGCGCCAACCTGTGAAACCAATCTGAAGCCCATCTAACCTAAACTATTCCATTATCATCCATATGCTTATCCAATGACCATTTAAATGCCCTTAAAGTTGGCGAGTCTACTACTGTTACAGGCAGGGCATTCCACGCCCTTACTACTCTCTGAGTAAAGAACCTACCTCTGACATCTGTCCAATATCTATCACCCCTCAATTTAAAGCTATGTCCCCTCGTGCTAGCCACCACCATTCGAGGAAAAAGGCTCCCACTGTCCACCCTATCTAATCCTCTGATCATCTTGTATGTCTCTATTAAGTCACCTCTTAACCTTCTTCGCTCTAACGAAAACAGCCTCAAGTCCCTCAGCCTTTCCTCATAAGACCTTCCCTCCATACCAGGCAACATCCTGGTAAATCTCCTCTGCACCCTCTCCAATGCTTCCACATCCTTCCTATAATGCGGCGACCAGAACTGTACGCAATACTCCAAGTGCGGCCGCACCAGAGTTTTGTACAGCTGCAACATGACCTCATGGCTCCGAAACTCAATCCCTCTACCAATAAAACCTAACACACCGTACGCCTTCTTAACAACCCCATCAACCTGGGTGGCAAGGATGGAAGGATAAATCTTTCATCTTTGTGATCTTAACTGTCTTATTTTGGTGTTCCTATGTACTGCTTGTATTCCTTTCCTTCTACTTTATTATGTTCACGTTTTTAAAGTTGTTTACTGTCCCTGGCTTTCTGTTTTTTTTTTCTTTGATCACTACGCTTGTTTTATGTGTTGGAATGGTCCCACACTTTCCACGTCTAGATTTCTAACTTCAAGAAATTTAATTCTTTCAGATCTATGCAAGCTTTGTATCCGCCAAAACAATCCATATTAGCGATAGATGATGTTCTGTACCAACTCATTATAACTCTGAGCAGTAATGTTTTACTTTCATCAGAAATCTGGCATGAGCAAAAATAAATGTGTAAACAGATTATATTCCACTTTAACAGAAGTAGATCTGTACACAAGAGAAAGGTTAGTCTAGCTAATGATACAATTATTGTTGAGAATGATTTTCAACTGGATAAGATTCAGTGATTCCTGAGAGTGATAAAATATTTGGCAAAATCAATTCATCAGGTCTGCGATATTACATTATTAGTTGCTTATTTACTCTGACAGATCGGTTTATTTATGTCCAGGTAACGGTTCTTCTGCCTACTAACCAGAATGTGACTGGTACCAACCTGGCAGTCCTTGGCAGTGTGACGGAGGCACAGCAGCCAATGACTGAGAGCAGTTCTCAGGTAAAATAGTCACAATTTCAATAGAAGTTCAGTAATTGTTAGGAATGTTTTTAAATTGGACGAATGAGCTTCTGCCGTGCGGCTTTGTGACTTGTGAATCTGCATGTGCCAGTGCAGGGAAGGAGGAATAGGAAGTCAATAGTCCCCTTAGCTTTTGGAGTTATTGTAAGATACATTGACAGCAGTCTATGAGGATGAAAGGAGTGACAAGAACGGCCTGTTAACAGGGAATGAAGATGGGAAAAGCTGTGATTGTTCTTTAATTGAGGGAAGCAAAGAAGTTGGTTTGTCAGTAACTTAGACCTCAGTAACTTGCTCTTATCTGCTTTTCCAGGCTCTCTTGCCCGTGTCAAATAATGGAATACATCAGATAACAGGAGACAGCAATTCTGTGCAGCAAATTCCAGAGACAATGGACTCAGCTGAACCAGACCTGGACTTTGAAGAAGAAGAGGATGAAGAAGAGGAAGATGATGATGTAGATTCATCTGATGTTGATGATTGGGAGCCAGGTCCTCCAAGGCCTTTTAATCCCTGTGATTTATGTAAGTGGACATTGCTACTTGCCATTCCCCTGAAGATCAGAGGAATCACGACAATTATTTAACAGTATCAGTGTAATTTTAGTTCTTTTTTTTTAATTACATGTTTGCTCATGGAGTGTGGGTGTTGCTGGCTCAGCCAGCATTTATTGCCCATCCCTGGTTGCTCTGGAGGAAGTGGTGGCGAGCTACCTTCTTGAACCTCTGTGTATTCCTTTTGGCGTATGTACATCCACACTGCTGTTAGGAAGGGAGTTCCTGGATTTTGACCAAGTGACAGTAAAGGTCAAGTCAGAATAGTGTATGAGGTTTTGGAGGTCACAGGTTTGGAAGGTACTGTTGGAAGAGCTTTGGCAAGTTGCTGTAGTGCATATTATAGATGGTACACACTGCTGTGCTTACCGGTGAAGAGAGTGAATATTGAAGTTTTGGATTTGATACCAGTAAATGGGCCAGTCAACCTAGATAGTGCCAAGCTTCTTGAGTGTTGTTGGAGCTGCACCTATCCAAGCAAGTGGGTAGTGTTCCATAAAACTCCTGACTTGAGCCTTGCAGATGATAGACAGGCTTTGGGGAGACAGGAGGTAAGTTACTCGCTGCAGGATTCCTGGCTTCTAATCTATTCTTCTAGCCACAGTATTGATATGGCGAGTCCAATTCAGTTTCTGGTCAATGATAACTGCCAGGATGTTGATAGAGAGGGTGTCAGTCACGGCAGTACCATTAAATGTCAAGGTGAAATGGTTAGATATACCCTTGTTAGAAATGGTTATTGCTGTGCAATGCAAATATTACTTGTCTTTTTATCAACCCAAGTCTGGACATTATTCAAGTCTTGCTGCACAATTCAATTTTTATTCCATAGAATCCCTACAGTGTGGAAACAGGCCCTTCGGCCCAATAAGTCCACACCGACCCTCGGAGGATCCCATCCAGTCCCATTCCCCTAAATTCCACCTAATCGACAAATCCCTGAACACGATGGGCAATTTAGCATGGCCAATCCACCTAGTTTGCACATCTTTGGACTGTGGGAGGAAACCAGAACACTCAGAGGAAACCCATGCAGACACGGGGAGAATGTGCAAACTCTACACAGACAGTTGCCCAAGGCTGGAATCGAACCCGGGAACTGGCGCTGTGAGGCTGCGGTGCTAATCACTGAGCTACCGTGCCGCCTTAAAGATAGCTTGTTGCTCATTATTACACCCAGGGCCACAACTGAGGTGTTGGCAGCGCAACTGTCCGGATGTTAACACATAGCAATTTCATTGGTAAACAAAATTCCTCCCAAAGTGAAGCCCCTTTTATTTTCCTCATTATGGCAATGTGATCTTTCCACAGGGTGTGAGGATTGTAATAAAGCTCATCCATCTGCGTGCCTCAAACATGGTGCCCTGCACTGCATTCCAAATCGGCCTGTCCTAAGCCGTGCTAGGGCCAGTCTGCCGCTTATTCTCTACATCAACCGATTTGCTGGTGGAATCTTCTCCAAGAGACGGATTCCAAAGCGCACGCAGTTTGGCCCTGTGGAGGGTCCATTAGTTAAGCAGTCTGAACTCAAGGATAACTACATTCATTTAAAGGTATGTCTCTTAGTCTGTTCATATGCACATGTTTTATTTTATTAAGGTGGTGCAGGTATCCAAGACTAGAAATATGCCTTTTTAGAATTGTAATATATTTCTAAAATCAGAATCATTAAACACCTAAAGGTGGGAAAGGCTTCCACTTTGTATTTTCCTTTTTTCTTTCTTATAAAAGTTGATGTGAATCACAATGGTGTTTGGGATTTGAACACTTGCTAATACGGTCTGAAATAGCATTAAAAACACCCAGGTGAACTTAAGTACAGATTAGACGTGGACTACACTGTGCTTAAAAATATGCCTTGCCTCGCAAGTATATTGTCTACTCCACTTTGGGGAGGCAATGGCCTAATGGTATTGTTGCTAGACTTTTAATCCGGAAATTTAGCTAATATCCTGAGGACCTATGTTCGAATCCTGCCATGGCAGGTGGTGAAATTTGAATTCAGTTTTCAAAATATCTGGAATTAGGAATCTAATGATGGCTGTGAAACCATTGCTGATTGTTGGTAAAAACCATCTGGCTCAATATCCTTCAGAAAAGGAAATCTGCCATTTTCATCCTTGTCTGGGCTACATGTGACTCCAGAGCGATGGCAGTGTGGTAGACACTCAGCTGTCCTCTGAAATGGCCTAGGAAGCCACTCAGTTCAAGGGCAGCTAGGGATTTGAAATAAATACTAGCCAGCGACGCCCATGTCCCACAAGTGAATTAAAAACAAAATCCATTATGATGTTTTCCATTTTTCCGACTGGTTTGTCTTATGGTATTTCTGAAATAAGAATGTCAAACCATTGCCTGATTTACAGTTGTTTGAAATTGACAGAATTACCTCAGTACAGTGGCCAACATACCTCCTCAAAAAATCATTCAACATTTATCCATATTAGAAATTTGAAGTTAGTTTAACTTTTTATGGAGCAACCTGTGTAAAGTCATCAATTAATTGGTCAGTCGATAGTATGATCATTACAGAGTTTTGCTGGGGTAAAATGGCTGTTGCATTACCAACATAATTGTGACAATACTTCAAAAAATTAATTATTTGAAACACTCCAAGGCATCAGTGATGACGAGGCAATACACAAATGCAAATTGTTTTCTTTTTGGCAGATTGCTATGGGAGTAGGAAGAGAGGATTGTAAAGATGAGGAGAAACCCGCTGATCTATGGTTTGATTTGTCTGATGAGAACTTGTGCAATTGGATGATGTTTGTACGTCAAGCACAGAACCATTTGGAACAGAACCTAGTGGTCTACCAGTATGGCAAGAATCTCTACTTCACCACCATCAAGCATATAGAGCCAAAACAGGAGCTCAAGGTAACATGAACATGTGTATATGGTGATTGCCTGCAGTGTTGGAAATGGTTATTCAAATTTCCCACTTTTGTTACCCAAGTACCCTGTTTAATACTGAGCTGAATTTCCAATCTACTGCCTACTCTATTACAAAAGGCCACCCACTTTCCCCCTTCATTATATTGCTTATAACAGCCCATTTTTAAGCAAAACCCATTGTTGTTCTTTACTCCAATGTTTTTCTGATCAGTTTTTCTTCCTTCACCCTTTGTAAACTGCAATTGTCAGTATCCTATCCTGCGGCTTTCTTCTTGCACGTCATCTGAGCATCGATCACGTTTTGCTTCCAGTCCCTTCAAATATATACAGTACAAATTACACACTCCAGGTGTTTTACATTATCTGATGTTTTCCCACAGCCTTTACAGGCATTGTCTGTATTTCACCCAATGCCGGCTCCACCTTGCTGATAGTGCAGCTCCTGTACTTTTAGCCTGTCTTCATACATCCGTGTCTGCCATTGCTTTTACAATATGATACCCTGAATGAACTGAAACTGATTCAACCCCTTCAATACCAATGTAAAAGACATCACGGAGGGGGTGAAGAATATTCTTAAGGGGGAAAGAAGTAAGCAGATGTCAAGTAGGATCTAAGCTTGTAGGTGGAATAGAACTTGAGACACCTTTTCCTTGTTGTGTATGTAGTTGGGTGTTCAGGTGACCTGGAGGCGGCAGCTAGAGGGATAGTCTAAAAGCAACTGTGGAACTGAGAAGACGTGCAATAAGGTATTCCCTGTTCAAGTTTACCCTCCGGCGACCTCGTGTTCTATTTCTGGTTCTAGTGAACGACAAAAGGAGTAACTGACAACAAGAAGTGGGGCCCACAAACTGTGTGCAGATGTCTTTTTTTTTTGTTGGGAGGAAGGACATCATCCAGACTTTGAAAATGGTGCAGGACTGTGGAAGTAATGTCGAGGTAAGCAGTCGCGAGGAATCTCGGGCTGTGTTTGATACCAGCGAAGAATGCTATGTACCAGGGAGCAGGCCGTGAGTGGCAGTTCGGAGGGGACTTGGGCCATAGCTGATGGCTGAAGAAGGGAATGCTCACCTGAGAGCTACCGGAGTCATCACAGAGAGTGGTCATGAGGGGACTCGAGCTGAGATCAATGTCAGGGAAGAGCAGTTGGTGAGGAAGTGGCTGGCACAGAGAGTGTTCACCGAGGGGGACTCGGGCTGCGAATGGTTACTAGACTGGACTGGCAGGAAAAGCTCCCATCAGCGGGAAAACAAAATGGCGGGTCAATTAGGAGCGATGGGACCATTTGGAAAGTTGGATACTGTAAACTGAATGTTTTGATGCCTACTTAAGGATGAATAAAGTGCCTGAAGACATATGGGTACCGATTTTCTTGGGTAACGTTGGGTGCAGGACCTTCACGGTTCTAAAGAATCTGGTGTAACCAGAGAGACCTGCGGAGAAGACATTCCAAGAACTTCGCAAAGTTATTTTGACTAAAGTCACTGATGATCGTGGAATATTTTCCTTTTTGGCAAGACCAAAATGTACATTGTCTTCATCAACATGAAGCAACAAGAAAGCAGAATGACAAATCCATTGTGGCAAGAGTGGCCACAAGGAATCAATGTGTTGGACTCAAGAAGCCCAGTGCTGCAGGTGTAAGTGAGTGGCCTATATTGCCTGAAATTGCTGGGTACAACTCGAGCAAGCAAAAGAGTGTCTAAAGGAGACCATTCAGAAGGCAAGGCATAAAGTACATGCTGCCAGCCAGGAAGTAGACTGGGATATGGCCAGGTCTGCGGGAGTAGCAGAAGGCCCAGAGTCAGCAGGGTTTCATTTAAACATCCTGTTGATATGGAATGAAACTGATCTTTTCTGGGCCCTTTCCACATTAAAGGATAAAACAGTAAAGATGGAAGCAGATACAGGTGCAGCGGTGTCTCTGATTCCTGACTCAATATATCAGGAAAAGTGAAAGGCACTGCTTTTGAAGCCTGCCAGGATTACACTGCAGACAGACACAGAACAAGTGGTGCTACTGAAGGGCTACGTACTAGTCAAAGTTACAGCTAAGGGACCAGTGTGCTGAACTGCCTCTGAACAGAGTGAAAAGCGACTACCTTGTATTATTCAGACTCTCCTGGTTACAGAAAGTAAAGTTAAATTGAGGTGTGGTTAACAGGCTGGTGGATTCAAAATTGAGTTTGCAAGAGATATTGGGCAGGTATAAGGATGTCTTCAAGGAAACACTAAGGTAAATGAAAGAAGAAGAAATTAAACTTCTGTTGAAGCAGGAGGCTTGTTTGAGGAGTCTGAAGGTGTGTCCAGTGCTGTGCGCCATCCAGCCTAAAATGGAGGTGGAACTGGAATGGTTGGTGAACCTGGGAGCGCTGGAACCAGTATCCAGCAGTGAATGGACCACTCCATTCATTCTGGGATTAAGAGATGGCACAGTGAGGATTCATGGTGACTTTAAGATCACCCAGCCCTGTGTGTGGATCAATACTCACTTCCTCACATTGAGGTCCTGTTCAGTGGACTGGCCAGAGGAAAACAAAATCTCAAAAACGGATCTGTCACAGGCCTACTTTTAGATTGGAGTTGTGAACGAGTTCCAGATGCCGCTGACAATAGTGACACATGAGACTGTTCCACTACAAGTGGCATTACATTAGCACTGGCTCTATTCCAGAGGCCATGGATCAGATTTTGAGTCAATTGTCAGGTGTCCAGTATTATCTGGACAATATTTTAGTTACTGGATCCTCCAAAGAGAGGCATTTGTAAAACCTAGAAGAAACCCTAAAAAGGTTGCGGGAATGTGGCCTGCAAGTAAAAAGGGAGAAATGCAAGTTATTTTAAAGACTCCACCGAGTACCTGGGCCATGTAATCAATGGTGATGGACTGCAGAAGGCATCCTAGAAGATGGGAGGCTATCATAAAGGCCCCTAGATCAGAGAATGTGCCTCAACTGAGATTGTTCTTGGGATTTGTAAATTACTATGGCATGTCTGATCTGGCAACTGTGCTAAAACTCCTACATAGGTTGCTGGGAAAAGGGAGGCTGTGAAAATGGACCCGGGAATGTGAGGTGGTTTACCGGGAGGTGAAGCAAGCCCTGAAAAGATTGGACGTATTGATTCTTTCCAACCCGAAGTCGGCATGCAATGCCTGACTTAATGGGGATTGTGCTGTTCGACCACACATCTTACTGAATGAGGAGGAAAGGCCCATTGCATTCACATTGAGGTCACTAGCGAAAATGGAGGAGAAGTATGGCCAAATGGAAAAGGAAGGCTGAGGCATCATGTTCAGCGTTAAGAAGTTAATCACTTTTCTTTATGGCAGGAACGTCATGCTGTTGACAGACCACAGGCTGTTGATCTCCAGGGATACTACAGCTGCAGAGTGGGCACTGGCTCTGTCAGCCTACTCATATAAAATCAGTAGGAGAAGCATGGCAATGCAGAAGCTTTGTCAAGGTTACCACTACTGGGAAATAAGGACATTTTCTACTGGAACCTGAAAACTACGTACTTTTCCCAGGAAGGCAAGAGTCCGGTGTCAGTGAGTCAGGTGCAGAACGCCACCTGGAATGACCTGGACTTGAGCCTAGTGGTGGACTTAGTCCTGAGAGAAAGAACTTACCGTGGAAGCCCATAATTACCTGAAGAGAGGTAGGAGTTGTCAGTGTCAGGTGGGTGTTTAATATGGGGAATGAGAGTTGTTATTCTTCCTCCATTGAGAGGAAAGGTGCTGGAACAAGTGTACCATGTGCACACTGGTGTGGTGTGAATGAAGGAGATAGCCAGACGTATCTGCGGAACAAGAGGAGCTTCCCGAAGCCCAAGTGACTACACTAGAAAAGGTTCCTGAGACGAGGAGACGGTCTTCTAGGAATCACCATCCCCTGCAAGATTGATCATGTCTCTGTCAACTTTGGAAGGATCATTTTCTTTTTCCATGTTTTTGTTTGTAAATATTCCTGATGATGTATATATGTTAGCTACAATGCTTGTATAATCGTTATAATTATTGGATGTACGTTTATTAGTAAGGGAAGTAAGGAAATAAAGAAGGATGGGTGTTATGTATGCAATTGGTTGTGTGTTGCCACTTTAAGAGAGCAGTTCAGTTGATCCGGAGGCAGGAGCTTAGAGGGGCAGTCTAAGACTAGCTGAAAGGACAGATGTTAAAGTACTTGAGGAGGGGGAAAGTGGATGTTTCAGGTCGGGACCCTTCTTCGGAAGAAACTGAGTTCTGAAGAAGGGTCCCAACCCGAAACATTGACTTTCCTACTTCTCTGATGCTGCCTGACCTGCTGTGTTCCTCCAGGTTCACACTGTGTTTACTCTGACTCCAGCATCTGCAGTTCTTGCTATCTCTTGTTAAAGTATTCGCTATTCTAGTTAGCCACTGTCTACCTTGTGTTCTAATCATGGTTCTAGTGAATCACAAACATAATACTTGTGAATAGAGTTTATTGACTGCTCAGTCACACAGCTCATTCCATCCTCAGTATCACTTGTTGCCCCTTTTGTATTTCTTCTCAATTTGTTCTCACTCAATCAATTAATCTAGGTCAGAAGCTTAACTCTTGCTACACTGATGTATTTATTTATTTATTTAAATTAAAAAAAATTGAAGACAAATAATCCTTGAACAGAAATTGATGAAAATAAACACTTTTCATATTGAACATCTTGTAATAACTACCCATTCTTCTCTATTTTAGCACATTCAATCACAAAATAACCTGAATAAATACATTTTCGTTCTTGTTCTTATAATCTGTAACATGACCAGGGTTGAAGAAAAGATTATTTTGATGTGTTCAATTTCAAGTTTCTTTGAGCCTTTTTAAATGAGAGGCAATTGAACAATAAGTGTATTTCACTTGCTAATACATCTGTGCTAATAAAGTGGTGTACCACAGGTATGTTCCAACGAATTTCCACTCTCTTGAGTGACACCAGCATGCTGTCATCTGCAAACTTGA